AAAAAAAAAAAAGCTTCAAAGTTTAAAGATCTAAAAATTAACTCCCTCCATTAAACTTTTGAGCTTAGCTCTGCAGTAAAGTCAGCTATGTCCAACTTACCACAATTTTGCACACTCTGATATTGTCGACATTGAAATGCCCAGAATCAGGAAGAATAGAAACTGTATGAAAATAAAAAAGAATTTTTGTTGCTTATCAAAGTGAAATGGCGACACATAAGCAATGCAGTGAGGGTTTTTTTCTGAGTACTAGAAGTCAAAGATTTGAACTAGCTATTTAAGTTTAAGGCAATTATAATCCATTAAGACCACTGCATCAAGAGATGAGCACAACATTTGTATTTATAATATAACAATCAAAATCAACATTTATTCAAAATAGTCAGTTAAATTAAGTCTGGAGGTCAATTTAAACAAGATCTAACCCAGAGTATTTTGAGGAAACACTTATACTAGACTTGAGGGTTATATTTCTTGAGGTCTAAAAGGAGAAACACAGCGACACATTCTTGCTTTCACTGTCCTGTGGCTGCGACTAGTGAATAGTTTCTCTGAAGTGTAATGCATCTTTCTAATGACAAGAAATGATGAAAAAAATCTGTTGTGCTGAAAGACACCATGCAGCAGTAGGCTACTTCTATAAATATTTCCTAGAAGCCATGGACCTTATCTGAGTCACAATTAGTAATATGAGAAAGAAAAAAGGTTACACTCACTACAGAGCATAATTTAACCTGGTAAAATAACGGTACCTTTTCATCTTACAAGAAAACATTAGCAATGATCAAGTCCAACTCACACCATTTCCTAATGCAATCACACTCGCTCACTTACCACAGGCCTGTGCAATAAGTTTGGCCAGAAATTGTTCATTGCCATATTGTTTACTCATCACTGAGGTGTGCAACAAGGAGGCCACTTCTTCTACATCTCGAAGGTTCTTTGCAGAACAGCACACCAAGTCAGGAAGAATTTCTAGGGCTTTCTTGCAAGCTTTTTCATATCCTTCAATCACCTGTATAGCAAGCAGCAAAAGTTCACTATCTACATCACTATACATTCCTACTTTGCACATCTTTTCTGGAAAGCAATGTAAAACTTTTAACTATAATAAAAAGTGAAAAAGCTTACAAGCGATGCAATCACACACAGTAAAACATATACTATTATCTTCATAGATTTTTATCTAAAA